CTTTGAGGGCTTATTGATGCAGTGGCAGGCCACTTGTGCTTGCAAGAGGCTTTTCCCCAACTGGTCTAGAAACATACGTAAAGATCAGGCGATGGAATCCTTTTATAGGCGATGGCACCTACAATCGTTCCCGCCATTGGAGAAAGCCACAGCCCTTTTGGTTGTTGTCTTGACAAAACAGGTGGCCACCATAGAGCTCAGCTCCACTTGCAAGAAGCCGAGCAGACTGGACGGGCAGGCATGGCAGACCCCAGGAATCTGCCTTCTTCTATCCCCTCTTCGACACTATGCCGTAACATTAGACATGGATGACAAGGGTTCTAGCTTCAAGCTGCATGGATTGCGGAATTGGCAGGAAAAGGGAGTCCGCCCCCCAGCACGGCTGTACGCGGTCTTTGCCTCCAAGCGGTGGTCCTGGCCCAAGGTATATATTTCATGGGTGCCCATAGACGTCCGCAAAATCTTGTCGGACAATCTCCGCATGCCGGCCTTTCACCGTAACCATACCGCCAGAGATGCGCGCAAGTCGTAGTCTTCCTGCTGTGTCGTGTCCACTGCCGAACTCTGGCCAAAGCGCTCAACAGTAAGTTCGCCGGCTGCAAACTAAGTTCGGCAGCCGGTCGCAGACCCAGGGCTTCTTCTGAGAGCGGAATGTAAACGCGGAAACGTTCCTGGTAAGCTGCCGGATACGTGAAGATGTCCGGGTTTACACAAGGGTGGTGGAGAGCAATGACTTCTTGCTTCCAGTATTGCCGTATCCGCCCGCCAATTTGCAACTGCATTGGACAGATATCCGTCGCATTAAAGAAGGCTGCAAGACAATTTGTCCCTGCCGTCCCTTATCCAATATTGCAGCGCAACAATCTTGTCGACTAACAGTCACCACCATACTTGTGGTCGTGCAAGCTCACGCCAGCACAAATCATAAGCGTTGCTAGCTAAGTACTGCAGAGGCTCGCATAGCTTAGCAAGGGCTGCACTAATGGCAATAAGAGAATTGACACAAAGTTGCCAGGCTTCCTCTTCCGAGCAGCATCTTGTCCGCATGGCTGCAGATGGCAAAGCCAAACTGGTCAACATTGACCCGTAGCGACCCCGCTTTTAAGAACATTGGCACGAATGGGGAGGTGCATACTCCACAATGCGAGCAGCGCCAGCCGGTCCGCGCGCAAACAGCCCAACGCCCTTGCCCGGCGAAGAGAGAAGCGGAACTGCTCCTTGTATGGCGTGAGGTCAGGGCCCTGCGGTGGTTTGGAAGCCGCCTTATGTAGCCCATAAGGCCTCGATCACGAGCGTGCATGTAGCCGAGGCTGCGGCACCGGCGGTGTGCACGGTGCGCCTTGGATAACATGTTCTTCCGCCGTTGGGTTTGGCATTGGGGGGGCACCCGCCTTGTGCCGCGACTTACGGAGGGATGACTTACGGAGGGATGGCTCTCTGTGCCGTTTGCGTATCAGGTAGCATTTTTTTGGCTTGACTGGGCCTCGTCGACTACGGCTGTAGCACTCGGTCCCTACAAACAAGCGAAACTACAAACCAAGCATCAAACTACAATAAAGCGGTGAAACAGCAAAGCGAAGCTCTACCAAGGGCTGCGGCGCACAGGCTTTGCCGGTGTTAGCCGTTCAGCACAAACTACGGAGCCTCAGCGACCGGTCAGGAGCAACAAAGAGCCGTCGCTCCGAGCTGCCCAAAACAACAGGTGGAGCCAAGTCCAGGCTCCGGTTGCCGTTCTAGTCTCGCCAGACAACGGACAACCCCTGTGTTTTGTTCCGTCACGATCGTGCACACCAAAATCCACAAGTCCAAAGTCCATGGTCGGGCGACGTAAGGTGAAGGCACCCAGGCAGTGAGGGCCAGCCAAAGGTGACAGAAGCGGCGTTCTCGCTCTTACTAACCGCAACAAATACCGATGGTGACGCGACCAATGCCAGGCAGTGACGACGAAACTACGACAAAGCAGAGCCCAAACACGAGGCCGTAAGAGAAGCAGCGTTCTCGCGCTTACTAACTGCAACCTTGCAACCAGTTGAGAAAAGACACGGACCTAAGCAGACGCTAAGAGGCGAGCGTGCAGAAGTGACACAAGCGGCGTTCTCGCTCTTACTAACCGCAACATAAACCGATGCGCGGCCAATGCCAGACAGAGACGACGAAGCTACGACAAAGCAGAGCCCAAACTCGAGGCCGTAAGAGAAGCAGCGTTCTCGCGCTTACTAATTGCAACCTTGCAACCTGTTGAGAAAAGGCACAGACCGAAACAGATGTTAAAAGGCGGGCATGCAGAAGTGGCAGAAGCGGCGTTCTCGCTCTTACTAACCGCAACCTTCACCGAAATGTCACGACCAATTCGGGCGGCGACAACCGAGCAACGACAAAGCAGAGGCCAAACCCGAGGCCGAAAGAGAAGCAGCGTACTCGCGCTTGCTAACTGCGACCCTGCCCCGTTGGGCAAAGGCACCGCCCGAAGCAGACGTCAAAAGGCAAGCATGGAGGCGGGCGTCCCAGAGCCACCGATACGCCTCTTAGGCGCCTCCTGCGAAATAAGCCGTAGATTTTTGAGGCCTTGGCTATGATACCTCTTCTGCAGGTTTGGGAGCCCCCCCCCCCAGGGCTACACTGCCAAGGACAGCCGTTTGAACATGAGAAGCTGAAAAACCTGCCCTACATCTTAACTAACCCTGCGCAGCGCCCTAAATTTTTAGAAGGGCTCAGCCAAAGGGTGGGACGGGTACCCAACCCCTAAAAAGCGCAAAAGCTCTCGGCAAAATCTTATTTCCATTAAGCTGGGTAGCGATAGTATTTCGCCCCCGTCACAATGATGTTGGAAGCTTTGCGGCGTATGCAGACGTCAAAAGGCAAGCATGGAGGCGGGCGTCCCAAAGCCACCGATACGCCTACTTAGGCGCCTCCTGCGAAACAAGCCGTAAATTTTTGAGGCCTTGGCTATGATACCTCTTCTGCAGGTTTTGGGATCCCCTACCCTTTGGCTATACCAAGCACCACCGCTTCAGCTTATCGGGTTAGGAACCTGCCCTAAATCTTAACTAACCCTGTGCAGCGGCCTAAATTTTTAGAAGGGCTGGGACGGGTACCCAACCCCTAAAAAGCGCAAACGCTCTCGGCAAAACCTTATTTCCATCAATCTGGGTAGCGATAGTATTTCGCCCCCGTCACGATGATGTTGGAAGCTTTGCGGCGTGCAGCACAGCAAGACCTGCCTCTTGGCCTGTGTGGCCCTAACCTTTGCGGCAGCGCGACCTGACCTCCAACCTACCTGCGTGCATGAACAAGCCCTCCTGACCTACTTCTGGGTCGAGAGAAAGGTATGGCCTTCGAACCTTTGGAGAAACTGCTAAGGCACAGGGCGCCCGATCATGCTGCACAGGCAACTGAGCAGGTGACAAAGGTGGCTTTACCGGCAGGCCACCACGCCGAGCGTTGACTGCGTGCGTCTCGTCACCCAAGCACAGAGAACCGTCAAGAGCGGGCACAACCAACCCCGCAACCGCACAAGCAAGCCCCCCCCAGAAGCTGTCTTGGCGAGTCAGGGACGGGTACCCAACCCCTACAGAGCGCCAAAGCTCTCGGCAAAACCTTACTTCCATCAATCTGGGTAGCGATAGTATTTCGCACTCCCGTCACGATGGCGTTGGAAACTTTGCGGCGTGCAGCACAGCAAGACCTGCCCCTTCTACAGCGGGCTGTAAGGCGAGACGTGGAAGGCATGTTCACAGTGCATGTGCGCTCAAACACAGATGGCGGCGGCATAGGCAGACTGAACAGGTGACAAGGGTGGCTTTACCGGCAGGCCACCACGCCGAGCGTTGACTGCGTGAGTCTCGTCACCCAAGTACAGAAAACCTTGGCAAAACAGGCACAACCAAACCCACAACTGCACAAGCAAGCCCCCCCCCCCGAAGCTCGCTTGGCGAGTGTTGGCCTCCCAGCTGGGATCTCAGGCTTTTGGCTATGACTCCCCCTCTGCAGGTTTTGGGATCCCATACCCTTGGGCTATACCCAGCACCACCGCTTCAGCTTATCGGGTTAGGAACCTGCCCGAAATCTTAACTAACCCTGTGCAGCGGCCTAAATTTTTAGAAGGGCTCAGCCAAAGGGTGGGACGGGTGCCCAACCCCTAAAAAGCGCAAACGCTCTCGGCAAAACCTTATTTCTGTCAATCTGGGTAGCGATAGTATTTCGCCCCCGTCACGATGATGTTGGAAGCTTTGCGGCGTGCAGCACAGCAAGACCTGCCTCTTGACCTGTGTGGCCCTAACCTTTGCGGCAGCGCGACCTGACCTCCAACCTACCTGCGTGCATGAACAAGCCCTCCTGACCTACCTCTGCGTCGAGTGAAAAGGTTTGGCCTTCGAACCTTTGGACAAACTGCTAAGGCACAGGGCGCCCGATCATGCTGCACAGGCAACTGAGCGGGTGACAAGGGTGGCTTTACCGGCAGGCCACCACGCCGAGTGTTGACTGCGTGAGTCTCGTCACCCAAGCACAGAGAACCGTTCCAAAGCGGGCACAACCAACCCCGCAACCGCACAAGCAAGCCCCCCCCCCGTGTTGGAAACTTTGCGGCGTGCAGCACAGCAAGACCTGCCTTTTCTACAGCTGGCTGTAAGGCGAGACGTGGAAGGCATGTTCACAGTGCGTGTGCGCTCAAACACAGATGGCGGCGGCATAGGCAAACTGAACAGGTGACAAGGGTGGCTTTACCGGCAGGCCACCACGCCGAGCGTTGACTGCGTGAGTCTCGTCACCCAAGTACAGAAAACCTTGGCAAAACAGGCACAACCAAACCCACAACTGCACAAGCAAGCCCCCCTGCGCGGAGGTAGGGTCGCGTATTGGGCTCACTATTTTACTTCACGCTCGAAAGAGGGCTGCGGAAGTTCAGGCTCAAGCACACTTGGCTCAAACCCTCTTCTCTCTACACTACAGCTACACTCTAGCTTAAAGCTACTGTAGCCTACAAAAATCTCGCACCCCCCTTAGAGGTAGGGGTTTGAGAACGCGCCTCCCGCGGGGCATCCCGCAGTCGGAGGGTGAGACGCCCCTGGTAGGGCGGAGCGTCCCGCGCACAGGACTGGCAGCCGAAAGGCTCGCCCTGCGGTGCTACCCGCTAGGCGGGAGTTGTTCACCGCACTGCCGGGCTTGGTGCTCTGGTGTCCGTTGCGGCAGTGGAGACACACCCTGTGTCGGATAGTTGCCCCTTCCATGAACGGGCAACCTCGTTGTTGGCCATGGTACCGGCGCACGACACGGCCGGTGGCCACTTGAAAGGCGAACCCGGTCCAGAGGAACTCGGTGTTCTGAGGATCTGCTGCGCAATGGCAGCGAAAGCCGATCAGGATTTGATCCGGCGGGACGGAGCTCAGCCCATTGCAGTTGGTGAAAAGATGGATCTTGTCGCCACGGGCTGTCTCGTAGAGATGCTCGTCGTCCCCCGAAAGGGGTTCCGGTCCCCTACGCCTGCGCCGCACCCTTGGTGCAGCGGGCGGCGGTGGTGGTGGCGCTTGTGCCACAGGGGGCGGACCCGGAGTCCGCTCGCCCTCAGGCTCTGGCTCTTGAGCCCCCCTGGGCTGCTGCCCACCTCCTCGTTGTTGCGCCTCTTGCGGCGCTTCTGGCCCTAGCCAGACCTCCGTGGCCCTTTGGGCTGCACGCGGCGGCTCTTCGGCACGCTCGCTCGATCTCGTCTTCGGGCTCCGGCTCCTGCCTGTCTCGTCTGCACCTGCAGAGCCACGAGACTAAGCCCCAAAGCATCCACAGGAAGGCAAGGAAGCCTATAGCCGAGCTCGTGAGCTTGGTCGGCGGTCTCATCTTCCAGGGGCTTGCCTGGATTGACTTGATCGTGCCCTTTTGGGCCAGAGCCTCGGTGGCGCCTGCGACCGCATCGAGGTCCACCATGCCCATGGAGGGCAGGGATTGCCGCACCTCCGGTCCAGTCTTCGCGTGCTTGGTAGCGAAGTTTGCCGGGTTTTCGGTTCCCTTAACTTTTCTCAGTTCGAGAAGTTTGGCTCTGAGCGCACCTTGTACATAGAATTCTGCAACTTCCAGGTGTCTCAACTTAGACCCTGGTCCTATGCGCTTGGCGGCTCCGATCGAAGCTGCGGAGTCGGCCCAGAGCCGCGGCATGCCGCAGGCTAGGGCGAAGTCCTTCTCCGCAAGCTCTCGTAGGAAGACGGCCTCCCTTGCTGCTCGCGACACTCCCCGGATCTCCGCGTCTCCGCTGGAGGTTGCTGGGAGGCCGGGCTGTGTCTGGCAGCTTGTCTGGATGACTGCTCCCCCGAGACAGGCAACTATGTTGTCTGTGCTCCTCCTCGTTTCTGGGCACCCTGCCCAGTCTGAGTCGGAGTAGACCTCCAAGTTCAGAAGGGCTGTGCTCTTGGACGCGGGGTCCAGCACAACTACCCTTCCAAACCGCGGGGTTGCCCGCAGGTATCGCGCGAGGGTTTCCGCAGCGAGCCAGTCGCAGACCCTGGGGTTCTGCATTCTTCGCGCCAGCTCTTTCACGGCGAACTGAACTGTATGTCTCGCCTGTCCGCCGACAGGTAGATAGCACTACCCACGGCGCTGCGAAACCTCGCGGCGTCACCCGCAGAGAGCTCCTCGACCTTGGTCAGGTCTAGAGGTCTGCTAGGCACGGTCCCCTTGTCTTTTGGACCGATGCCCAGCTGCTCGCACACATTCTCTGCGTGCTTGCTGTCGGGCAGCGTGAGGATTGAGTCCTCTGTGCGCACCTTGGTCCTTCCAAGGACCTCCACCGCTGTGCCCGGCTCTTCCAGTTCTCCCACCGTTATCTCACAGTGCGTCGGGAGGTCCACCTCCGTGAACTTCAGCACTGCGGCCTTGGGGCCTGCGACACGGATGTCGTCGATATGGTGGAGAAGGATCAGGCCGGACCGGCGGTCTAGGTACACGCACGGGTCCTTCACGCCACGCTGGAAGTCGTAGTCCTTGGCTAGCTTGCCAGTGAGGACTTCTTCCAGCTCGTCCCTGTAGACGGAACCAGCCGTTCTTCGGCCGTAGAGGTTGCCGTCCACTCGGAACACAAAGTCCCGGAAGTGGTCTCGGTACCACTGCTGGTCCTTTGCAGGCTGCTCCAAGACCCATTGGTCAAAGAGCTCGCGCCATTCCACAGGCGCGTGCATGTAGACCGGGCGGCCTTCCGCCGCACCGCGGTCCTTCCCTATGAGGAAGGCGGCCACAATATCCAGAGACCTTGTGACCCACCCTTCGTTGTGTAGCGCTGCTACCTCAAGTAGGGAGTGACTCTCGGGCGTTGGCGTTGGGACGAAAACGTCCAAGCCAGCTTCCTGTTCTGGGCTGTAACGGGCCTTGACGTCGGCACAGGTACACCTTGACTTGTACCGCCCTTTGTCGCACTTGTCGACCCACTTTGCCCTGAACAGCTGCGCCCCGCGCGGTACTTCAGACCGCAGCACAGGCGTGAAAGCGCCTCGGTCCCACAGCTTTCTTAGCTGCTCCTTGCGTGCCTGCTCGACCTGCTTGGGGTCGAGCATCCGGTCTAGCAGGTCTGTCACCTGCCCAACCCACGCGTCCCGCTCGCCTTGGTGGTTGGTGAGCGGCGGGTCGGCTAAGGCAGCGATGTGCTGCCACACCTCGCGCTCTGTGAGCGCTCCTAGCCGTGGTGCCTTCTTGGGCTCCACCCGGCTCTTTGCTGCAGGCGGCTGCTGTGCTGCCGCTGCGCTCGCGCAGAGTCGCGCTTCTGCCCCCCTTCGCCTGAGCCGTCGTTGGCGGCTTGGGCCGGGCTTGCCGCTTGTTGCGGCAGCGCGCTTGCTGCGGAAGGTCCTGCCTCCACGTCTGACGGCTCGTAGTCGGGCACGTCTGCGTTGGCTTCGGTGGGGCTAGCGTCCGGGAGCCTGCTGGCTTGCTCGGCCCCTTCGACCAGGATGGCCTCGTCGTCGGGCCGTGGCTCGTCGTTGAAGAGCCAGGGCTCACCGGGCGGTTCTAGCCGCTCCGTTTCCTCGGCCGGCGTGGCCAGAGGGATTGGAACCCATCATCGGCTCGCTGCGCTCTGCTGGAGCTAGCGGCCAAATCTGGGGTTCCAAGGCAGGCCGCACGCTTTGAGAACGGCTGCCGTGTGGTGCCGGGTTCCGGCGGGAGCCGCCTGACACTCCTCACGTTGAGTGCGCCGGCTTCGGTCAGCACTACGTGGGAGTCGTCGCGCTCCAGCTTGCCGGCCCAGACCCCTTTGACCCAGCGCACTTGCGCTTTGTTCCCGGGCCTTGGAAGCTTCGCCAGAACGGTCTCTCCAAAGGAGCAAAGTGCTCCACCATAGTCGGTGCCGGTGGCTGCCCGATATGGTGTCACCCCGTCCGTCGACTTTGTCCCGAAGCGTGCTTGCAGCCAGGCCACGTGCCTGACAAGCCACGGGAACAAGTTGGACGAAGTGTCCCACTCTAAGGCGGGGTAGTCCGCTCTTAGCTGCGAGAGCCAAGTGCGAACTTCACCTGCTAGGTGTGCGTTCCTTCCCTCTACGGATCCTTGGCTTTGGTGCGACCCGCGAGGGGCGTCCCGAAGACGCACCCTAGCAGCTCCCAGCCGGCGGTGGACCGCACGGGCCACAGAGGCTTGTCGTACCCCAGGCGGTCCACGAACTGCTCCACAAGCCCTGCGGCGTAAGCCGCGTGTCTGTGGCCTTTGTGCGCCACGGGAATTGACAGAGTCCAGCTAGTGGCTCTGTCTGTGAGGTTCAGCACCGTGGCAAGCGATGCTTCTTCTTCCACCTCCTTCCCGTCCCGGCTGTAGAACTGATAGTCCATGGTGACAAGCGGCATCACCGGATCATCAGCGGGCTCACGGCGGCGGTGTGGGTCCTCGCGCGCCTTTCCCTCCACGCACTTCTCGCACCACGCCTGGTAAGGCGTGTGAGTGAGCTCGTGCTCGGCGCGTTCCTGCGCCGTGGGGTTGCGCGGTGCCCTTAGGCCGCGTGGCCTTGAGTCAGGCTGCTCGGCCTGCTCCTCGAGAGGGGCGGGGTTACCCGCAGCCTCCTCCTCTTCAGCAGCTTCGGCCTCTTCGTCGGCTGCTGCTTCCATCGCCGCGTCCTCCACCTCTCGAGCTTCGAGGTCGTGCTCCGGGATGTAGTCGTAGTGTCCCAGATCTCTGCCTGGGCTCGGTGGCTCTGGCGCCACCGGTGCCACCCGGTTTGCTGACCCCGGCGGGAGCTCCCGCTCGTAGGGTAGGAGGAACTGTGACCCTCTCTTGAGGATCGAGGCTCGGACGCCGTCGGGCCACAAAATGTGGCTGTCCTCTCGGTGGAGCCAAATGCCCGCACCGGCCTCAACAGCACGGCTGATGCTGAGGATTTCGTCCTCGATGTCCTCGGTCACCTCAAAGTTGACCTTGCAGGACTGACGCTCCTCCCCTAAGAGGAGGCTCGGCTGGACTTGGCCCTTTGTTTTCAGGCGGCTGTTGTCCACCGAGTAAAGGCTCTTTGGTGAGCCCGCGGGCTGCAGGTCGGGAAACGCCTCGGGCCTGCAGACGGACACACACGCCCCGGAGTCCACAAGAAGACTCCCCGACACCTTTAGGATCTTGTCCTCTTCAGGCTCGGTGTCGTAAGGCGGGGCAAACCGCACACCTAAGATGCGGTCGTCACGCACCTGGCGCACCTGGCCTTTGCCGCCAGAGCCGCCGGTGCTTCCTCCAGCTTGGGACGCGGAGGGACCCGCAGTCGCCAAGGAGGCTGTTGACACTGTCGTGGCCGCGTCGTCGGCCACTTGGGCCACCTGGCCCTTGGTGCTTTTGCCTTTTCCCTTGGCGTTGAACCAACACTCTTTTACGGTGTGCCCCGTTTTCCAACAGATGGGGCATCTCTCCTTGCCGTCTCTGTCTCCTTGCTGGTTCCCCTTTTTGTCCCCTTTTCCTTTGCCTCTGTTGTTGTGGTCGCCCTTGCCCTTCTTGTGGTCTTTGTCCCCCTTTTTGCCTTTGTCGCCTTTGCCTTTTCCATCCTTCCCGTCTCGGTCCCCTATTCTGCCGAGCCAGCAACCGGCTTATCCACCCCCGCAGGGCGACCCCGTGGTCGAGGCCCTGCGCGGGGAGGTGGCAAACCTTAGGGGTTTGCTGGAGAGCCAAGCGCAGCAGCTGCAGGCTGCGATTGGCGAGCTTGCGGCCCAAAGGCAACAGGGCCTAGCTGCAGCAGCCGCCACGGTGGCAGCCGCTACGGCGGCACCCGCCCCTGCGCCCGCGCAGGCGAGCGGTGGAGGGCACTTGCTCAAGAGCATGCGTCTCCCTACCTCCCTTAAGGGGCGGGACGACTGGGAGCGCTTTGCCTTTCCAGCAGAGCTGGAAATAGCTCGAAAGTGCAAGGCGCCACTCCAGATGACAGCCATGACCGAAGAAGTGCGGACCCTCAGCGTCCGCCTCTTCGGCATGCTGGGCAGCTGGACCCAGGACTCCGCCACAGCTGTAAAGCTGGCGCGCGGAGTGAAGGGCCAGAATGGGTTCGAGCTCTGGCGTCTCCTGTGGCAGGAGCACAACCCAGAGAACGAGTCCAAGAACCTCACCTGGAGGCGGACTCTGCTGATGCCGAAGTTCCCGCCAAAGGAGAGCGACTTCTCCTTGGCTCTGCAGGAATGGGAGGCAGACGTGGACCGCTACGCCTCCGAGTATGGCGCAGGGCGCGCCCTAGCAGACGAAGATCTGCGGGCAGTGCTGGTGACCGAGAGCCCCACCGCTCTTCGGCAACACCTCGCTATGCACGCGGCGAGTCTTTCGACTTATGCCGAGGTGAGGGAAGTGGTGGTGAGCTACTTGCAAGCCAAAAGGGTCTGGACCCCGAGTGCGGGCTACGCCGCCTCCTCCCGTGTGCAGTTCAACGAACATGTGCATTCGCAGAAAACGTTCTAAAGCATCCACAATACAAACACAGGCAGGTTTCAATAGTATAAAGTATAGCCGTTCTTCTATTATTCCTTTTAATGAGCACAGGTGATCCTAACAACAGCTATGGCTTTGTTCGACCAAAGAACCAAGAGCACAGTTGGGAACTGAAGCAATTGAAGGCTCATGTCTGAGTGCATAGTATGGCTGGTCTTCTATGACTGTTGCATCTTGGAATCTAGCCTGGCGGTGTTTTTGCATCCGATGTTGCCAAAACATCGCCGGGCTCGAATTTCCCTAAAGTTTGGTTTGTGAAGCTGGAAGTGCCAAAACATCGCCTGGCCTGGCTGATCTCGTCCAGCAAGGTCAGGGCTTCTCCGTACTGCTGTGCCAGCCTTGGGTTGCCTTCCCAAGGGGTCTCTGGCCTGTTGCGAGCCGCGTGCCTGAGTCCGTTGAGGAACTGGGCCCTCGGAGCTCTCTTCGGACTCCTCGCCCTCTTCCTCACCGTCCTCGGCCGGTGAGGTGGGCTCTAGCTCCTGCTCCGGAGCTTCCTCCCGAGGCGCGGGAGGTACCGCAGCCTCGGGCTCTGCTGGCCCTGGCTGTGCGGCCTTGGGTTCCTCCTTCAGTGGAGGCGGTGGTCCCAAGTGAGGTGGCGGCGCCTTCACCGTCGGTGCTTTGGCTGCCGGAGCACCTCTCGGTAGGGCCTTCGGCTCTGCCTCCGGGGTGGCCTCTGTGGGTCCACTCGCCGGGCCTGTTTGCTCCTGCCCAGCGGGCTTCCAGAGCTTTCTTCTTCTGCCTCGACCTTCGGTGCGGCCTTTGGCTTTGCCTCCTCGGCTGGCTCTGCGGCCGCCTCTGCGGAGGCAGGCGGGGCGACCCGCTCTGCCGGCTCTTCCTTCTTAGCAGGGGTGACCCCGCTAGAGGAAGAAGCTGCAGCAGCAGCGGGCGGGGTTTCCCGCTCTCCTTCGGAGTTGCTTCCCCCGAAGTCTGGGGTGTCCTCACCAGGCGCAGGGCCTGTGAAGACTGGAGCCTTGGGCACCGCCGCGGTGTCCAAGGAAGATCTGAATCACCTGGCCGGCACCTGCAGGAGTCTCCTCCGGGTGCGCGGCTCTGGGATATCAGTCCCCGGGCCCTCTACGAGGACGACCGGGTCTGTACCCTCTCTTTCGCGCCTTTCGGCGCCGCGGGCCTCGCGGTTGGCGCGGGCCGCTTGGGAACGACCACCTCGGTGGTTCTTCTTCTTCCCAGAACCTTGTTCCGGCTCTTGGGCTGCAGGCTTGCCCTTGCCGGACTTGCCTGTTGGAGCTGGCTTGCCCTTTGCGGGCTGCTCTGCTCCTTTTGCTTGGGCTGCCTTGCCCTTTGCGGGCTGCGCAGCTCCCTTGGCAGGCTTGCCCTTGGTGGGCTTCCCTGCTCCCTTCTCCCCGCGACGGGAGCCGAACCCGAGGCGGGGCGGCCCGCACTCGGGCCGGTTTTGCCTTTGCCCTTTTCGGGCTCGGCTGTTCTGCCCCGGTTTTGGTTCGGGGCTTCGGTGCGCTCGCCTATGAGAGGGCGGCGCGGTCGAGCTGGAGCTTCGGCGGCTCCGCTCCCCTTGGCACCTTGTGGTGCCTGACTGGAAGAGGCCTCCTCCTGCTGGGAGGTCCTCCAGTCCCACTACTGGGAACTCCAGTCGGAGTCCCAGTCCCACCAGCCCCACCACTCGGACGTGGCGGCTGGCGGGTGGCGGTTCGGCCCGCGCACCCAAGGAGCGTCGGGGCCTACCGAACCAGCTCCGCTACCATGCGCGGAGGTAGGGTCGCGTATTGGGCTCACTATTTTACTTCACGCTCGAAAGAGGGCTGCGGAAGTTCAGGCTCAAGCACACTTGGCTCAAACCCTCTTCTCTCTACACTACAGCTACACTCTAGCTTAAAGCTACTGTAGCCTACAAAAATCTCGCACCCCCTCCCCCGAAGCTCGCTTGGCGAGTGTTGGCCTCCCAGCTGGGGTCTCAGGCTTTTGGCTATGACTCCCCCTCTGCAGGTTTTGGGATTCCCTACCCGTTGGCTATACCAAGCACCACCGCTTCAGCTTATCGGGTGAGGAACCTGCCCTAAATCTTAACTAACCCTGTGCAGCGGCCTAAATTTTTAGAAGGGCTCAGCCAGAGGGTGGGACGGGTGCCCAACCCCTAAAAAGCGCAAAAGCTCTCGGCAAAACCTAATTTCCATCAATCTCTATACATCTTCTTTATGGTCGACAGTCCCTACAACAATCTGGGTAGCGATAGTATTTCGCCCCCGTCACGATGATGTTGGAAACTTTGCGGCGTGCAGCACAGCAAAACCTACCTCTTCTACAACTGGCTGTAAGGCGAGACGTGGAAGGCATGTTCACAGCGCATGTGCACTCAAACACAGATGGCGGCGGCATAGGCAGACTGAACAGGTGACAAGGGTGGCTTTACCGGCAGGCCACCACGCCGAGCGTTGACTGCGTGAGTCTCGTCACCCAAGTACAGAAAACCTTGGCAAAACAGGCACAACCAAACCCACAACTGCACAAGCAAGGCCCCCCCCCCGAAGCTCGCTTGGCGAGTGTTGGCCTCCCAGCTGGGATCTCCGGCTTTTGGCTATGACTCCCCCTCTGCAGGTTTTGGGATCCCCTACCCTTGGGCTATACCCAGCACCACCGCTTCAGCTTATCGGGTTAGGAACCTGCCCTAAATCTTAACTAACCTTGTGCAGCGGCCTAAATTTTTAGAAGGGCTCAGCCAAAGGGTGGGACGGGTGTCCAACCCCTAAAAAGCGCAAAAGCTCTCGGCAAAACCTTATTTCCGTCAATCTGGGTAGCGATAGTATTTCGCCCCCGTCACGATGATGTTGGAAGCTTTGCGGCGTGCAGCACAGCAAGACCTACCTCTTCTACAACTGGCTGTAACGCGAGACGTGGAAGGCATGTTCACAGTGCATGTGCACTCAAACACAGATGGCGGCGGCATAGGCAGACTGAACAGGTGACAAGGGTGGCTTTACCGGCAGGCCACCACGCCGAGCGTTGACTGCGTGAGTCTCGTCACCCAAGTACAGAAAACCTTGGCAAAACAGGCACAAGCAAACCCACAACTGCACAAGCAAGCCCCCCCCCCGAAGCTCGCTTGGCGAGTGTTGGCCTCCCAGCTGGGATCTCAGGCTTTTGGCTATGACTCCCCCTCTGCAGGGTTCTCAGTAAGAATACTGTGAGTTTGCTGAGCAATGCAGAACAGAGTAAGAAGGCGCTCACCTCTTTTTTACTCGCGAAGGATGCTTGAAGTCGGTGCGAGGCAATGCGATGCCCAGTAACGGGAGGAGCGGGGCAATGCGTTGCCGAGCTCTTTTCCCCCAGGGTTGTGGAGGGTGGGTGAAAAAGCTAAAAATCGGAAGCGATCCGGGTCGACAGCTTGAGCTAGCAGTGCGGCGCAAGGCGAAGCAATGCAAGCTCAAGTACTTACCGAAAACACTGTCGACCAAAACAACAAACTCACGACAAGCGTTCTCAGTAAGAATACTGTGAGTTTGCTGAGCAATGCAGAACAGAGTAAGAAGGCGCTCACCTCTTTTTTACTCGCGAAGGATGCTTGAAGTCGGTGCGAGGCAATGCGATGCCCAGTAACGGGAGGAGCGGGGCAATGCGTTGCCGAGCTCTTTTCCCCCTCTTTAGTTCGACTTCAGCATCCTCTGCCTCGCGGGCTCAGAATCCCCCCTCGCATGAGGATGTAGAAGGAGACCTGTCGAGGCGGACAAGGAGAAGCAGTAAAAAAGTGCCAGAGCACAGGGCGTGCGAGTGGCAGAGCTCTGATGCAGAGTTTTTTTCTCGGTTCACGAGCGGTGAGCAAATCAACGCAGTAGGCTGCGCTGTGCCTCGCAGAGGCGAGGGGGGAAGGTGTTCTCCTCCCCTCGAAGTGAAACTGTGTGCGAAGCAGATGCGAGCTGTGCTAGGCTGATACGAACGCGTTCGGCACTGCGGTGCTTAATGAATGCCAGGCGTCCGCGGCTGAGGGCGTCAGCCCACGAGTTCTTTTCGCCGGCCAAGTGCTCGACTTGGAACTGTACACGGTGCAGGTGCGCCCAGGTGGCGGCAAGGCGCAAGAAGGTGCTGAGCGGTTCTGTTGTCGTAAAAAGGCGGTTGACGCCACTCTCAGCAGAGGTGTTGTCGCTGGCGCTGGGAAGGACAAAGCGCGTGTGTTTGTGCCGAAGGAGAGCCCATGAGCAATGGGCGAGTGCGAGCTGTGCCAATGCCTCGAAGCATGCTATGTAGCTTTGCATGGAGCCGTGCAGTTGAGGCCACTCGGCTCGGACTTCGTCGGCAGTAAAGATCTCGCTGTACCAAACAAAGTGCGAGGAAGTGCTGAGCCAGCCGCCGATGCCCATTCGGTCAGTGTCGGCAAAGGCATCCGCGGCACTCATGCAGGGCGCGACGGGAGGAGTGCGGAGGCTGCGTGGTTGCTCGTGTTTAAAGCAAAGCTCGAGCCAGGCGAGGCAGAATTTACTGTCTTGTTTGAGGTGAATCTCTGTGCGATTAGGGTCAGCAAGGCGGACCCACTGGTGCTTATGGGAGGGCGGCACGCGGGGCACGTCAGACTTAGAGTGAATTTTAATAGAGCCGACCTCAAGAAGCTGTGCATTGCGAGGCAGCCAGGAGCCAAGAGGCGTGGAAGAAAGCTTGGCGGTGTTATCAAGGCACTCGTAGAAGGGCGCCCAAGCCTGCGGGGCGATGCTGTGGAGGG